TTTTTCTATTGCTAACCTGGACGTCATGTTTCTTTCATCTCCCCATATAATTTCTAATTAATTCTTAGTTCCAATTGCTATTTTATTCTTAACATGCATAATTAAAACATAATTGCCTTGAGTTACTACTGAACGTGTCTTGAATTCCTAGAACAAGGGAAACCAATTCTTATACTTCAGAGTGGGGATCAATTTTCACCATCTAAGAATTCAAAGTGTAATACATACTAAGATTTCAGTCATAATATCCAAGAAACCACAAGTGTGATTATCGTCAAATCTAAGTAGCTTCTAATATATTATTATTAAAGCTAAAAGTTCCTACACCAAAAACCTTACATTCAAACAGCTCCAAACCCATTTGAACAGAATAAAACAAAACAAAATCAAGCAAACAAAAAGAAACCTGCAAACTCTAAATGGTCTATTCAGCCACCAGTTACAAATCACCCATAACCAGAGGGCAGGTATAAACATAGGCATAGCTACCACCAGCATCAGCGACCCACAACCTGCCAACATCTGGATTTGCGCCCTTAAAATCCATCTGAAAATGGGCTACTTGCAGAAAGAAACTCGAAGAGCCAATGCATCCCAAATCCCCACCGTTGAGACAGCACAAGGCTCGAAAGAAAATTCAAAAAGAGAAAAAAGAACAAGAGTGTAAAAGAAAAAAGTTGGGGAGCAAGAAGGGATTAGAGACTCTAGAGAAGGGATGAGAAGAAGGGTATGCCTCTCACTGACTCCCGATCAGAAACTCCCACCATCAGAAGAGTACATCACAGAAACCACGAGGCCATCTGCCAATGCATGACCATCATGTGCACATGGAATGGAGTGAGATTTTTACAAATCTGCACTATTTAACCTGCTCTACCTCGATTTAGTGCTCAGATCGGTTCAATTAAACCAGTTTAGACCTCTCTACCGATTTTCAGTACTTCAGATAACTTCTCAAAATGTATTTTAAACTGCTCGTCCATTCACTATTTTGTTTAGAAATCAAACTAAGCAATAGCGACTAATACTAAGTTGAACAATTGAGGAGACGCTTTAGATGCTAAGTCAATGCACTTGAGAATTCTAGTGTACAATTCAAGATAAAGTTAGACATCTTTGAATACATTCAATTTTTTCTTCTGAAAAAGAAAATAAAGTTAGTACACCAAAAAAAAGAGCTTTGGAACTTTCATATTGCATAAACTGGACAAGTTGTCCAAGTTATTCAAACCCACCAGTTGCTCATGTTGCTGCCATTTATAGGAGGCAAGTTGAAGACAATGCGGAGCTTTGATGGAATAATGGACCTTAATTTCTTTCTCAATTAGCTTAATGCAATACTTGTCAAGATAAATAGGTTGAACTAGCAAAAATATGGTGGTGCAACAGTAATGAGAACTTAATAGAAAATAAAATTGACAGCTGAAACACGGGACAAGATGAAAGACACTGTACATGAGAAACTTTCCTGCCAACTATTTTGACAAAATTTGTGCCAAGCTTACACCTTGACGCATATGTCAATAATTGAATATACACGCATTCTTTTTTTGTTTGGAAGTAATAATTGAGCATACATGAAATTAAAGAGTTAAAGATATAGAACCAATTGGAAGAAAATGCTAGTCAAGCCGCCTCTCAATTTAAGGCAGGATTAAGAGGCTAAAACAAAATGGGAATTGATTTGTCAACCTGCAGCCACTATGGCCCAAATCATCCAAGCTTTCCTTAACATGGAAAAATATTTGAAATATCCAATTACAAGCAATATTAAATTTCTGGTTGTGGAATCAACTCCTAAGAGACCTTGACTCAAAAGGTGGGGCAAACAGTAGATCAACTTTGGTTTCCAACCCTCCCTCCAAGGTAAGGAGATTGTTTAGTTTAGGTGTAGAAAGATTAGACATATAAGCTACCAATGCCCAGAGACAAACAGCTTATATGTTGGGAGTAAAACAAAAGGGGATTCGAGGAGGAGAGGGTGGTTATGCTCCTATTAGAATGATAATTTACTTGATGATGAACGAGGAGAGACCTCTCTTTTGTCTTTAATAAGATGACTTAGCAGCTGCTAAAGTCAAGAAAGATGATTAGCGTCGCATTACTATATTTCAAACTCTTGTTAATTGTAGAACAAAAGCTAAGAACTTGTTATTGACAGTGGAAATTGTATGAATGTGGCTTCAGCTTCAACAGTTGAGCACCTCAATTCGCGAACATGACCACATCCACAGCCCTAGCAAAGTAACAGAGATTGGTACTGCAATTATCTTGGTAACTTCAAAAGGGTTGTTTCTTTTCAATATGGTTCCTGTAACGATTCCTATCAAATGTGATTCCATCCCAATAGAGGCTACCATGTATCCTCCTTGGTTGGCCTTGGCTTTATGAATGCAATTTACGTCATCAATGAAGAGAAGATTCTTACTCTTTTTCTTTTGGAAAAATGGAGATTGTTATCAAGAATAGGAAGCTCCTAAAGTCGCATATTTAATAGGAGACATTAGGCAAAACCAACAAAGGAATATAAATGTTTTGGGAAGTTAACTAAAAGGAATAGAAAGATTTAATTTCTGTTTTCAAGTTTTGAAAAGTTTAATAAAGAAAAATAAGAAGATTTATTTTCCTATTCTCAATATTTCCTATTTCCCTAGTTCTTTCTATTTAACTTGTTTTCCTATTTATTAGGTTTTCTAGATTTTCTACTTCTGATGTATTTGGTGCCTATAAATAAAGTAACTAGTTTAGTTATTAGGTAAACCATTTATAATAATTACTCAACTATTTAGATATTATTTTGATTATTGAGATCCAATATTTTTAAGTTTTATTTGCAAATATTTCTGGGACTGTGTGGGGGGAAATATGGGCTTGGGATGGCTGATCAATAAATGTAATGTTGCCAACTTGATTCTTTTGACTGTTTTTTGGGTTATTTGGAAAGAAAGAAATCTTAGGGGTCTTTGAGGGAAAAGAGTTAGGGTTGTATAAAGTAAGAGATAGGTAAATTAACTATTTTGAGTCTAGTTTGCTTGGTCATGATATTGTAAGGGATGAAAATTTTGGGGATATTATTGACATACTAAACTACTTTGTAAATTACTTACAGGGCGGTACCCCCTTTTGGTACCCTTGTTAATATACACATTACTTTTTTATTTCAGAAAAAAAAAAATTTCTAAGTTTTGTTCTTAATAAAAGTTCATTAAATTTGTTTTCAATCTCTTTCAGTCCAACAACAGGTTGTTTTACAACCCACAGGTGCAATTGATATAAAGAGGCTTGCAAAAATGCAGAGAAATATGAAAAAAAAAGGCCCATAAACCAATAGAGGTTGTCAAAGTGAAGAAAAAGCAACTCCAAACTATAGCAATACGACAATACACTCACTCCAAGAAGGAAAACGTGGCATGTGTTTGTTCGTATAAAGTTCCTAGTGCAGCGTATGCAGGAGCTCTCAATTTTAACAAGAAGTATTATGCTTTCAACTCAAAAGGATCAAGTTTTTCCCACCTAGGGAGAATTGATGGCAGAGCAACAACTACGTGTCACGACCCTGTCTTGATTCGTGAAGAAATAAAAGGAAGAAGAAGAATTATTGCAAAAAAAAAAAAAAAAAGAATCTAGAAGAAGATGAGAGCATAATTAGAGTTTAGAAGAAAGAAAGAAAGATTAAGACAGAGAAAAGAGGAATTGCTGTGGAAAGATGTTTTAAGTTTCATTTATATTTTCTTGATACAAATCAATTACCAACTATACACTCTATAGCTGAGAAGTAATTAATTGAAACTAATTTCTGACTGATGAAAACAACCTAACCACTATTAGTTGGGTCCTAACACTAAGTTAGTTAGGAAGTTACTTTTATCATTTTAGCATTTAACAATTAAGGATTAATTAATGTTTTCTTGGGTTAATTATGATTGGCTTTCCTATTTTTATTAGTACCTGGTAATGTTTTTTTTAAAAAATAAAATTAGTACCTACCCATGTTATTAGGATTGATTTTTTTATTAGTACAACGTATGGAAATGTTACTTCAGAAGCACTACAAATATCTCTATAATACCACTTTTGCGACGGTTTAGTTATCCGACAAAGTACTTTGACGATTATCTCATTCTCTAATTGAGCTATGCAATCAAATCCCTTAATACTTCATTGTTTTGATATCTAAGAAACCTCGTATATAAATATGATGTCTGAATTTTTATCTTCAAATCCTTAAATAAGCATATTAACCATAAATTTTCGGACCACTTCTGTTATTCAATAGTTGAGCATCCTTCAAAACTTTCAGGAGGAGCATCAAAATAACTTACCGCCAGGGAAATTCACTTGTGTCTATTCCTGCCTGGTGAAGCTCATCAACATATTGCAATGCTTCCCGGCATTCCTCCCGATCATCATAAAACTCTTTTTTATCACCTTCAATCATATATGTTTCATGGCCTTTGCCAGCAACCACCTGAAACAGAGAACGATATCAAATAGGAGATATGAACTACAGGTAGTTATGAAAAACAACAGATACAGCCTGCAAAACACGCTGATGACATAATCCATCATACAAGTGAAAAATGGAACCAAATTCCTCTCATCCAAGCTTTAAGTGTGAGCATGTACCGCATTTTCACAGAACTAATTCGTTGCTAAAAGAGCCAGCTTAAACTGAGGACGAATTGCCATTCATGAAATCTTTGTGAACTTTTAAAAACTATTTCTATTTTGATATTTTTGAATGTCAAAATAATATCAGGTATTGCCTGTACACAATTACTTCGAACAGCAAAAGTACTTTTTATTCTTACATTCTATCAGCAACATGTTAATGTTTGTCTACAGATTTTCTATAAAGAAAATGTAGTTACAACCATATCTCCTTCTATAAAGTTTATATTTATATCCTTATCAAACATTTATATTCCTGTTCTTCTTACATACAACAGATTTTCTTTCATTCTATAAAGAAAAGCCAAACAGGGTTCAAAAACTTACAACCATATCTCCTTCTTCACCCATAGCAACAGCACAACGTACAGCTACACGCCTAATGTCATGCAGAAAAAGTCGATGACCATTTGGAAGAGGTGGATAGTAATCGTTCTCCCCATATTTCAAATAATCCTGCATTGTCCATCCTATGCCAGCCAGCATATCATCCAAAATGTCCACTAATGAACATGAAACAAACACATGTAAGTACCAAACTTACAAATACTTGGTGGTCCAACAATATCATTTTAATCAACTTTTCCTTCTTGTAATTAAAAACTACATTTTCTCAGGAAAAAGATTTCATCATACTTACAAGGATCTTCATGCTTCGGATTGTCAGACGTCAAGATTGTCACATCACTTTTATCTGTAGCAATTTTTGTCATCATTGGTCTTTTCCCTCTGTCACTTTCACCAGGACAACCAAAAACTTCACATGAAGAACAACGAATTGATCAGACAAAAAAAATCACTTCTAGATTGATCCTGAAGTAAATTCAAATATAGTAGAAATACAAACAAATTATTGAGAAAAAGAGCACTTCTCCCAAGCAACACTGATGGGAACATTAACGCCACACTTATTTGTGAACATAATAATAAGCATGTAATCACCAATAGCCAGGATTAACGTACATGTAAATCTAATTGGAGCTTTCATTGTTTCAAGCATATTTTTGAAGTTTCGGAATTTAGATCTTGATTAAATTAGCAGTATATTTTTTCAACACTATACATAAGGAAGTTCCAACTTATTCCTAGCCTACACTCATTTTAGCATTTAAAAGAAATTTTGAGCACCAATAGTCCTAGCTAACAATAAAGGCATAGAAAAGCATACCAGTGATTATCCTTCTTGGTCCAAGCTCCCTCACAGAATCAAGCAGTCTAGAGAGGGCATCAGGAGTATGGGCATAATCCACTATGACGCCAAATGCCTGTTCTTCATCTATTAACTCGCATCGACCTGGAACAGCATCTACCTCTTCAATCCCTCTAACAATATCCTCCAATGGTGCCCCAACTGCAATCCCGACTGCCACGGCTGCAAGAATGTTGTAGATATTATGTCTTCCAAGCAAACCCGATGATATCTCCAGTATACCATGTGGGGTATTAACCAAAACCTGTGTCTCAAACAAGGAGAGCTCAAACTTCAAAGGATGAACATCTGCACTTTTATTCTCCATTGCAAAGGTCACAACAGGCACATCAAGGCTCCCCTGCCCAATAAAGAATGATGCATTGGGATCATCAATGTTAACAACCTTCCTATGCCTTTCGGGATCAACCATCCTCGAGAACAACTTAGCTTTGGCATCCCTGTACTCCTCTTCAGTTCCATGAAAATCTAAATGATCCCTTGTCAAATTGGTGAAGACAGCGATATCAAAATCAACCTCATTGCACCTCCCTAAAGCCAGTCCATGAGAAGATGCTTCCATGACAACAGCGTCAGTCCCATTATGGAGCATCTTGGCCATTAAATTCTGCACCAAAACAGAATCAGGGGTCGTATTTGGTGACTCCAACTTGTTATCTCCATGCACGTAATAAGCAACAGAACTCAACATCCCAGTTCTCAACCCCATTGCCTCGTACATGCCTTTTATTAAAAATGCAGTGGTCGTCTTCCCATTGGTCCCTGTAATCCCAATCACTGCCATATTTTTTGACGGGTGCCTGTAAAATGAACCAGCCAATGCAGGTAAAACAGCGTTAGTATCCTCCACCATGACGAGTGCCTTACACCCCAAAGTCTCCTCTATGTCAATCTCCTTACTGGCTACCACAGCAACAGCTCCTCTCTTATCAGCTTCACTCAAGTACAAATGACCATCAGTTTTTCTTCCAACACAGCACACAAATAGATCCCCAGAACTCACCACCCTCGAATCATGCTGTATGCCCGAAATCTCAACCTCCAAATCCCCGTAAACAGAAACTGGCACCACTTTACTCTCGTCCAGCAACTCCGCCAGGCTCATCTTGAACTTCGGCTCCACAATTCTCGCCTTGGTTTTCTCAAAACTATCGAAATCCAAATCGAAAGCTGAATCCAACATCGACCCACCACCGCTTTCCTTCTTCTTGTCAACATATTTACGGCCCTCCGTTTCTTCTTCATCCTCAGAGATAACGGTGAGGCCTTGCAGTTCCTCAATCTCCTCCAAGTCAACAACCTCTTCTTCCTCTAGCTCATCAGTATCCTCAACATCCGTTTCGTCCTCATCTTTTTGTATCGACTTTTTAGGGTTCGGCCGTAACAAACCTTGTTTGATAAGCTCGCTTCGCTTCATGGAAATGGCTCTGTCAATTTCACCAAACAAATCGTCTCCAGGATCCACGGCGCCTTCTGCTGGCGGCTCCTCTACGTCAGCAATGGCGGAGAGGTACGTAGACTGATGCTTCCGGAAGTCATCTTCTTGTAGCTTGCGTGCCCGGGCTGCTCGGCGGTGGATTTGCTCGAACTTCGAGACGCCGTGCATTGAGTCCTCAGGGGCTTCGGGCGGGTCGTCTTCGGACGGATTCGGGTAGTACTTCCCATCGGGCCCGATGGCCGGTAGACGATAACGTTTGGAAGAGGGAGAAGGGAGGAAGAGAAGAGGCTTCGAGGGGAGACAATGGGATTTCTTAAGAGAGAGAGTAGGGGAAGTTGGAAAAGGAAAGAGACAATCAGGGAGAGAGAGGAGATAAAATGCCATGGAAAGCAGATACTGTAGTTGCAGGGTTCAGACTATGGAGAGAGACGAGAGGGTTTTACCGCAAGAATTAAGAACCAGAGGGATAAGGGGGGCAACAACGGTTGTCCCTCTCAAAACGGTGCGTTTAGGCATTCGAGGAAATGATAAGGGGGGAAACAACGGTTGTCCCTCTCAAACGCTGCGTTTAGGCATTCAAGGAAATGGAGGAGTTCTTGTATTTTTTATTTTTTGTTAAATTACACAGGTTAATTTATTACTTTATTATTTTTAGTATTTTATAACTATGTGATTGATTTATGATACATGTTTAGTTATAACTTACAGATCCTAATTGTAATACTCTAATTTTTGTTTCAGTTAATTTTCATCTTTTCACATGAAAAAATATAAAATTATTATTCTATTATTATAATTATTATTAGTACCCTTCCATCATCTACTCTTCTTTTTGCCAAATTCAAATATTCATTTCCTAAACCCAAATTAACCTTCTTAACAAATTCAATCTCAATCCCAAATTAAGATGTTACTACACACTGTTGTTAGTTTAATTAATTAGTTAAATTTATTTGTTGAATTATTTTTTAAAATATTTAAATATAATATAATGTTTTAACTTTTTTTATTAAAAAATATAAAAATACACAAAAAATATTAGAGATTAAATAATAATTTAAAAAATTAATAATTAATTTATAATAAGTATCAAATTTTAAAAATTAATTTAATAATTTAAGCAAAAAAAACCTACTAACAAATAGGCTAAAATTTTATTAGTAAGAATACATATTTACATATATACACAAAGGGACAGTACCATGTGTGTTTTTATTGGTTCAAAAAGCGTTACTTTGTTTTTTAAAGTGATTTCTTTTTTGATAAATTTTCAAATAAACTTTGAAAAATTCTGTGAATTATACATTGATTATGCAATTCATGAAAAAGTATTAATGAGAATATAGGTTTAAATTTTATAATTGATAGTCATATCTCTTTTGTGTAAAGCTCAACTCATTCATAGACTTCTTCATCCAGAGCAATTCTTTACATGCTTCAGTTGTAATGAACTCAGCTTCTTTAATGGACGATGCAATGTATTTCTGCAATTTAGATTGTCATGCCACAACTTCCGAGTAATTAGATACCCATAAGTAGACTTTCTTGAATATGTATCCCCTGCCAAATCAAAATTTGTAAAACCACATTTGAATAGACTTTTCAATCCCAAAATACAACTTCAAACTAGTTGTACCAAAAGATATCTCAAAATAACTTCCCGGCATTCCAATGCTCTTTTATTGGATTAGATAGAAATTTACTAATGGTACCAACTGCATGATGTATATCTGGTATAATACAAATCATAGCATACATCAAGCTACCTACTATAGATGCATAAGGAATTTTCTGCATTTTTTCTTTCTCTTAGTCACTAGAAAGAGACTGTTTAACACTCAATTTAAAAGACATAGCAAGAGATGTATTCATAGGTTTAGTTCTGGCCATATTATATCGTTGCAGTACCTTCTCAATGTACTTTTCTTGAGATAGCCACAACTTCTTGCATTTTCTATCGCGAGTGATTCTCATGCCAAGAATGTGTTTTGTTGGCCCTAAATCTTTTATTGTAAAAGATTTGCTCAACTCTTTATTCAAGTTATCAATTCTCGAAGAACCAGAACCCATAATGAATATATCATCAATATATAACAATATGATGACAAAATCACTATAAGAAAATCTCTGTATAAAAATACAATGATCAAAAGTAATCTTCTTATAGTCTTGTTGAAGTATAACTAACTCAAACTTCTTATATCATTGCCTACGTACTTATTTTAACCCATATAATCTCTTTCTCAATTTGCAGACATAATTTTCTTTTCCTTCCAGCACAAAACCTTCAGGTTATTCCGTGTAGATTTTCTCCTCTAAGTGGCCATGAAGGAATGTTGTTTCAACATCTGTTTACTCAACCTCTAAATCAAGACTAGTAACTAACCCCAAAATAACATGAATTAATGACATCTTGATAAGTGATGAAAAAATCTCCTCAAAATCAACTCTCATTCTCTGATTGAATCCATTAACAACGAATCTGGCTTTGTATCGTTGAGATTTAGAATTCTCTTATTGCTTCACTCTATAGACCCACTTATTTTTCAAGACTTTTTTATCTTTAGGAAGCTTCACCAACTAAAAGGTGTGACTATCTGTTAGAGACTTCATTTCATCTTTCACAGCTGCAATCCATTCTACCTTTTGCTCATTGTCAATTGCCTCTTCATAACATTCAGATTCTTTTTCATCAGTCAAGAGTATATACTCATTAGGTGAATACCTAGTAGAATGCGTTCGATCTCTAGTAGACCTCCTAAGTAGAACTTCAAGTTCTTCAACATATGTCTATTGTTGAACATCAACTGCTTCATATTCAGGAGCACAAATCTCATATATATTATGATTTTCAGTTTGCACATCATAATTCTAAACCTCAGTTGTATCAAGCATATGAGTTATAGGAGATGTGTCTAAATCAATCAAACTACCAATCTGAGACTTAGATTTCTCCACCTTGTCAATATCTTCAATAGTCTAATCTTCTACAATGATTACATCACGACTTCTGACAACTTTCTTTTGAAATAGGTCATAGCAGTTGTAACCAAACTCATCTTCCTCATAGCTAATGAAGATATATTGCTTAGTCTTTGCATCTAACTTGGACATCTATCTTTGGGAACATTCACAAAACATTTACAACCAACTACTCGTAGGTGTTCATAGGAAACATCTCTACCATACAAAAACTTATTAGGAACATCATTTTCTAATGCAACAGTGGGAGTTAAGTTGATCACATGAGCAACAATATACAAAGTTTCACCCCAAAAAGAGTTAGATAATTTAGCTTCTGAAAGCACGCATCTGAGTCTCTCCATCAACATTTTGTTCATCTTTTCTGGTAAACCATTCGACTGAGTTTTATGATGTGTGTTCTGATGTCTGATACCATTTTCTCTACAATATGCATCAAATGGCCTACAATACTCATCACCATTATCAGTGCGATACATTTTAACTTTTTGCAGTTTCTCTCAGCAGAAGCTTGAAATTCTTTTAATCCACCAACCAACTTATCCTTTGACTTTAAGGTACAAACCCAAAATCTCCTTGAATGATCATCAATAAAGGTCATAAAGTAAAGTGCACCACCAAATGACTTATCCTTTAAAGGACCACAAACATTTGAATGCACCAACTCAAGCAAATCATCTTTCAAGGACAAATAATGATGTTTGAAAGAAACATTCTTTTATTTCCCAGCTAAGCAATGAGTACATCTGTGCAACCTAGTACTTTTTAATCCTAAAAGTAAATTTTTTTTAGCTAGACGATCAAGTCCCTTCTTAGTAATTGACTTAGTTTTCTTATGCCATAATTATGAGGAGCTATCACCTTCAATTACATTGATAAGATCTGTAGAGATTGAAGCTTGCAACCAATATAAGCCTAAAGCCTTCTTTACTTTACCCACAATTAAGGGACCTTTGTTAAGTTTACATTGCCCATCATCAAAAGTGTTGCAATAGTCATCGTCATCAAGCTTACTAGTGAAGATCAAATACAACCTAATGTCTAAAGCATGTCTAGCATTCTTGAGCTCTAACTTTGTTCCATTTTGAGTCTCTAAACAAATAGTTCCAATGCATATCACCTTTGACACTCCATCATTACCCATTTTCAAAACCCAAAAATTACCCGGAGTATAAGATGTAAAGAATTCTTTCATTGATGTAACATGAAAGCATACACCACTATCAAAAACCCAAACAGTATTATCATAGGCTACATTGATCATATTCTCTTAATAAAGTATAGCAAAATTATCTTTTGAAGTGGTAGTGGCAACATGATTAGTATTATTGTCATTTTCCTTTTTTTCTTGCTTCCCTTTATCTGCTTTGTTCTTTTTCTTTCACTTGTAATAATATTTCTTGATATGTCCTGTTTTACCACAATGATGACATTCAAGTTCTTGTACCTTGATTTTGATTTACTCTTACTCTTGCCTCTATTCTGATCTTGACCCTTATTTTTACTTCTCTCCATGTTTTTAGTAAACAAGATTTCTGATTGTAAACTAAATGTCCCTTGAGTTCTTCTTTTCATATCTTCATTCAAAATGTTAGTCTTTGCATACTGCATGGTTATAACACCATCAGGAGAAGAATTAGTCAAATATACACAAAAATTTTTCCATTAGTCCGGAAGTGTAGTCAACAACAAAAGTTCAATAACATTTTCATTAAATTTGACACCCATGCTAGACAGTTGATCAAAGATACCTTAAATTCATTCACATGATCAAGTAGAGAACTATATTCTTTATATTGTAAGTGTATACCTTGTTTAAGCAAGAATAACTTACTGTTTCCAATCTTTAAAGCATATAAGGTTTATAGCTTTTCCCACAAAATTTCTCATTTATTTATTAGCAATATAATTCAACACATTATCTTCTACCCATTGTCGAATAAAACCACATACTTGTAAATTCTTAAATTTCCAATCTTCATCGCATTTAGACTCAGGTTTTTGGACCACAAACACATGTAAATGCAACCTTTTCACAACAAGAAGATCCCTCATTTTTTCCTTTCTACTTGTAGTGATTTGTGTCATCCAAACAAACCATTTTACTCATATTCACCTCCATCATTCAAATACGTAAAATAAAATCCACAATCAACTAATGAATTAGTGAACTAAGCTTTGATACCACTTGTAGAGAAGTACTTGAATAAATCTACGTGGAGTGAAAACTAAGTAAAATTCAGCAAAAATAAATATAATAAAATATGCTCCAAAATACTCAAAAACAATCACACAAAGATACCAAAATTTTTAACGTGAAAAATCCCTTCAATGTGAAGAATAAAACCTATGGGACCTCTCTTAGTCTAAGTAAAAAGAGCTCTACTATAAAAATTAATAGTTACAACAACAATAAGCAACCACTATAATTCTCAAATAAATACTCAATAATAAATTAACCAAACAACAAGAGATAAACAATGAAGCGAGAAAT